GTACTTATATGCAGAGACAATATGAAGACTATACAGATGTCTATGTTAAAAACACATATTTATTAATTCTTGTTCTCACTTTCCCTGTCTGTCTGTCTGTCTGTCTGTCTCTCTCTCACACACAGACATACACAGACACACACCCGTCTAGATGTCTTTTAAGCACGTACAGTATTCCCTGAAGAGAAAAATCAATAAAAACACAGACACACACAGACACACACACGTCTAGATGTCTTTTAAGCAAGTATTCCCTGAAGAGAAAAATCAATAAAAGCAGCCGATACATTGTTCAGTAATTAGAGGCAGAATTTAGTACTGTATACCCAGTTTTAAAACCTCCACCATATATATAAGAAAGCCACATACTGTGTTTTCCCAAAAGTAAGACAGGATCTTCTATTAATTTTTTCCTCCAAAAAAGCGCATTAGAGCTTATTTTCAGAAGATGTTTTATTATTTTCATGTACAGCAATCTATATTGATTCAAATACGTACAGTCCTGTCATCTTCTTCTGGTTGCGGCACAAGGGTGGAGGGCAGAGTTTCACATAAATAACTGGGGCTTATTTTGGGGGGTAGGGCTTCAATTACGAGCATCCTGAAAAATCATGCTACGGCTTATTTTCAGGTTAGGTCTATTTTCAGGGAAATAGGGTATTAGAGAAGCGAGTGACCCCTACACCCTCTCCAACGAAATGGAGGCATATTTTTGTTTGAATGACAAAGTTTTGCAGGTGCCACCCATGCACGACTTTTGATGTGCCTCTTTGATCCATTCGGTATTAGTGGCGTCCAGACTGGTTGCCTCACCCCGAAAATCCAATAGCAAACTGTTCATAAGTAGATGAGCGCTGCTATCGAAAAACCTGATATGTATTGCCTGAATTTATTGTTGTTGTTATGTGCTGACCCTGTGAATGACTGTTCTTCAAAATGTCTTATTCTCAATAGCCCTGCCCTTGCAAACTCAAGCCTGTGGCTTCCTTTAGGGAGCCAATCCTTCTCATATGTGGTCTTCCTCACTTCCTGCTGCCTTCAGCCTTTACTAGCATTATTCTCTTTCCAAGAGAATCCAGTCTTCTCATGATGTGTCCAAAGTACAATATGCATTTATTACAGGGAAATAAGGAACACAACCCTTTTTGCAGAAGACAGTATCCCTTCCACCACAAAACAAACAAACATGTCCCGCCTCGGCACCCAGTTGAAGGTGCCAACTTTTAGAGAGATGGCTTTTAAAAGTTATTTATCTTCTGTTATGTTCTGTATGCAGATCTCTATAATGGAATCCAAAAGTGCTTATCCTAGCAATGGCTACTGATGCTCCTTGTTCTAAGTTGTTGTTTTTTTGTTGTGCATTTTGCTCGAAGTTAATAAAAATCAAATAACAGCGAGAAAAATAACAATAATCATAGAAAGACACAAAGAGGTGCTCCGATCTATCTCTAGGTAACACAAACCACCCCAAAACCAATGTATCCTTTTTTCCCCTCTTTAAAGTAGGCCAGCTCTCCAGAGGGTGTACAAAATTTTGTTACTGTTTTTTTTTTAGGTCACCTTGGTGGTGTCTGCCTGCCTTCTATTTATAGAGGGAGAAGGAAGAAGCGCCTG